AAACAACATGATTTTACGGAAGGCCGCTCTGCAGAAACAAACCTATGTTCCTTCTTCAGTCAAGCAGCTACCATCTGTACACAGCGGAGGACAAGCGGATGTAGTGTACTTTGATATGATGTAAGCTTTTGATAAAGTAAATCATCGACTACTGTTGAGTTAACTCTCTAGTTACGGTCTGTCTACTAAGTACTGTCTTCTGTTTAATAGCTATGCGTCTCATGAAGTGAAGTTTGTACAAGTATTCAGTCAATTATCTGCTCCTTTTTATCTACTTGTGGTGTTCCCTAAGATGGTATCCTCGGTTCAATACTGTTTTTACTTTTTGTAAATGATCTCGCTTGTTGTATCTAGTACACGCAGTTGTTATTTTCTGACGATATTAAGTTATTTACGGTGGTTAAAGTAGTTAAAGATTGCGAAGGTCTGCAGCGTGATACAGATTCTATTTCGGCGTGGTGTCCTTCAAATTACATATTTTTCAACGAGTACAAGACGAAAGTGATGAAAGTTACGTCTTTTTCTAGAGAGCGTGACATTCTAATTTATAACAAACGTTTTAGCTTCTGATTTCGTCCCGAACTGTGAATGCGGAGGCCATTTAAAAGCGAATATTTCTGAACTCAGACTGCGTTCGAAAAGATGGAGGTAATCGCAACAGAGAGAGGTGGAGCTATGCTGCTTCACGAAGGATTCTCGTACACATGCAGCAGAAAGAAGAATACCTGGTATTGGATTTGTCGCAGAAGAGGTATATGCAAGGCAAAAAGTAATAGCTTATTTGGCTGCCAGTAGGATAATTGCTCGTTCAAGCCAGCATAAGCACATGGGGAACCAAACTGAGATCAACCTGCTGAAGACTCGTCATATGATGAAAGGAGAAGCGGATGAGTGGCAAAACCTTTTCTACGTTGAGTATTGTAAGATTAGTTTTTCTAATCTATTGTTTATGTCACAGTGGAAAGCCGGAAAACTCCTCATCAGGGAATGTGGGCAGTTGTTGAAATTCACATTTTACTATCGTCCCATGCCCGCTCGATGTGTAATTGCCCGCGTGACGAGTCATCCTGTGACGGGTGTTCCTATGTGACGAACCGCCTTCTGACCAATCATCTTGTGACGAGTGCGCATGTGACCAATCGTCCTCATCCCGTATCATAATCAAAGTTCTAAACCTTGTGACAAGGAGAGAAAAAAATGGCAGACAAGACGACATATTTTGTGTCGTCTCATCCGTTATTTTATAAACTCCTTGTCTCAGGGTCTAGATAGATTATGATATTCCAAACCAGGTCGCCTGTGTATAGCTTGTGCGGGACATATTCCGTTTTCCCAGGTCTTCGTCAGCATAATCAAACATGTGACTTTTTTTTTTTTCAGATGTGCATAAAACATCGAATGTTCACTAAATACTAGCAGATTGATGTTTCACCCCCCGAAGGCAGCGGCAGAGGAGGACGCGCCGAACCACGGACTAAAACGCAATTAGAGGAATAAAGGTCGAAGCTCTTCAGCTCTCAATGAAGTTGATTCCCGATGCTGAAAGTTGCAAGTTTCTCTTTCTCGGTCCCCCTTCATTTACAAACACGGAATCTTTCATCGGTCATTTTTATGAAAGCTATGCGATGCTCCCATGCAGAGTTCGAGTGAGTGATTTGACTGTTGCACGCATCGCCGATAAACTTGGTGGGGAAATTTGATGTCATAGTGTCGTCGTCATGTGACGTGACGTCAAATCAATCGACGTTTTTCAAAAGTGTGCGCCATCTAGTAGCTGGTTCGCCAGTTGTTCGAGTCGGCCATTGCTTGGGCACGCACTCTGCGTGTCTATTGGACACGAGCTTTAGGTCAGCATTCGGCGACGACTCGGATCACATAAACACGCTTCGTGTCCACCAAAATGGCGACCGTCAGGGTTGTTTGACGGGGTTTTGAAAAATGGACGTATTTCTCCGCACAATTTAACGGCGAAATCGACGTCATAGTTTCGTTGACGCCTCAAATCACGTGACGCCAATTTTCCCGCTAACTTTAGCGGCGATATTGACTTCACAATTTCGTCGTCTTATCACGTGACGTCGCGTAAATTCACACGCTAAATTTAACGGGGAAATTGACGTCACGTAACGTCGTAGTTTGTGCTCCACACATTCCGTGAACCCCGGTCATTATCAGTATGATCAAATTGCGTAAAGATTTTTACGCAAGAATAAATTTAATTTGAAGAGCACGGAAGAATAAAACATATAGGGACAAAGACAGACGATACAAGTCTTTCAACTAGCATTGAGGGTGGCATCATTAAATGTCGGTTGCTAGTCGAAAGATCTGTACTCTGTCTTCGTCATTAGACGTTTTATTCTTTTGTGTTTTTAAAATCCCTTTTACCAACCCACTCTAGGCTCATTTTCGAATAAATTTCCTTCCTCTTGAGAAGGAGCGGCGCCCTCCAGCGCAGCATCTCAGGCCCCTACCATAGAGGAAAACGAAGATGCTGATCCTCGTTTGTAAATAACCAACTTCGAAGAAAACGAAGGTACCGCACCTAGTTTGAAAACTAACCACCGTAAAAAAACGAAGATACTGCGCTACATTCACCGCAGAAGAAAAGAAAGAAGCTGCTTCTCCTTTAAATAGCCCCCTGAAGAAGGTGCCGAGCCGGCACCGAAACGTTGGGACCCTACGATTTTTTAGGGATTGGTTGGCGTTTGCCCTTTTTTCATTTATAACATTTAACCCAACCAGGCAGACGTCTGCCGAAATGTTCACCATTAAGATTTATGTGTTGTTGTTTTTTTTTTGGTGGTATATGCGTTTTGATACAAATATGAGTTGAATTGAAAACGCCGAAACTTCGTAAAGTCTTTAGTATCAGGGATTTCTCAGATTTTTGTTTTGTTTTCTGAAAAAAAAAAATAATTGCCTCCGCGCAATGAATTTTCATAAATTAGCTTCACTGTGACTGGGTTGAAAATAACGCTTTAAAGGGGCCCTGCAACACCTTTTGGACTGGTTGTTAATTTGCACGAAACCTGAGCGCACTGAACGTAGTAACCTTATGAAACTTTTCTTTTCTCAAATTTCGCTTTATTTTAATAGTGATAGGCAAATTAGAATTACAAAAACAAGCAAAAAATAAGCTTCCTCATGACGTCGTAGGTCCTGGCTTGAGTGGCCGTGAACTAGAGGAGGGATAGTGAGCTCATGGAGCGCTCACGGCTGCCGCACTCCGTGTCGACGGCTCGAGAGGGCGCCACTAAAGCACGTGTTGGATAGGCTGCATGAAGCGGGCGGCCAGGGCGGCTCGCATTGCATGTGCTGCCCGATTAAAGACTAATTTGGGATAACACTTCATTGGCCAGAAACGACAGAAAACACGGCGTAAATATCAGTTCAGAACGGGAGCCACATCGTGCTGCCATACCGCCAAATGGCAAAATCGCCAGCCAAGCCCGCGCCGAAAGCCTTCGGAACGCTCGGAACCGGTCGGATCATCGAGACGGTATACGACCGCAGCGCCGCCGCGTACATCCGGAACCTTTCTACGCTCGCCGTTCGTCGGCGCCTCATCCCACTAGCCCTTTCTTGTATGCGCCGTTTTTTCCGCCGCTTGGTGGCGGGTATGCCGACGGGTCATTTCTTGTTGCCGTACTTTCTAAACTGCATTTGTTTCTTTTCTGATCTAAAATAGTGAACAAAAACTACATTCATAAGTAATTAAAACGGCTCGCGACACTTATAATTTGCGTCTCGACTAAAAAAAAAAAATATTTTTTGCGATTTTGACCAGTAGTAATCCCAGGACCAAAGACGTCACATACCGCGCGCTTTTGGCAACGCGGGTCGCCCTCGTCGGTGGAGGAGGTTTCCGCGTCGTCCGGTTAAAATGTGACGCACTGATGTTTAGTTACTCTCTCCGTGCCCTCTGGCTTGACCGAACCCCAAGAGACGTGGAAACCGCAAGAAAGGTAGACGCTTAAATATGATTGCAGGGCCATTTTAAAGCGATTCCTATTGGCTTCACTTCTTTTTTTTAAACAGAAAGGAATGGTTGCTGAAAGCAAAATATAAAACAAGGATGTGGGATCCGCAACTTCACTGGAAACGAAGATCTAGAGCGTCAAACAAACTCTCTAGATCTAAAAAGTGTGAAGCAGATCTAGAGAGCGTGAAAGCACAGCAATAAATAAACGACACGCGCCTTGGAAAAATTAGATATGATGCATATAAAGGTACTCCTTTCATTTTTTCCTGGCTGGATTTCCCATGCGGCAATCGGAAGGTCTTCAAACGGGAGAAAGGAATATTACTAAAATGCGCAATAAAAAAACTCTCTCCAATGCATGAATAATTGAGGGTAGTAATAGAGGTGTTCCCATACAAAGACGGCATACCGAGCATGTGCAACCGGTCTGGCCAACGAGCGAATGATTCGTAGCCCTATCCAACGCCTTTACTTGCTCGAAGCCAATCAATCTTCATATTTCTACATCTGGCTAGCAGGGCGGAGGTGTTTTAGGAGAAAGAAGACGACGAGGGACCGGAAGATATTTACCTAAGGTAGAGTGAACTATACTACGTTTCACCTTATGTTGTATACCGCAGCGAAGGCTAGAAGCGCGAGCTCATAGCGTTGGCAGCTGCCCTTAATGCACGAGAGCTTGTGCCGCCAAGATGTGCCCTAGAGCAAGGAGCTCGCGCTTGTAGCCTTTTCTGCGGTACATCATAAGGTGAAACATAGTATAGAAGGACCGAGTGGGACGAGCTACAGGCTCCGCTCATGCTTTCAGTTGTACCTCAAGATGTGGAAAGTGATCAGGTGGAACCAAGCCACTTCGACCGCAGCGCCATCTTCGCTGCAATCGAGCAACGACAAAGGCCAAGGTCATATGGGCAATACAGCCCCTTAGGGGCTACATTGCATTTTTTATGATTTTGACGTCACAGGTAACGTCAAAGCATCACGACACGACAACGTTAAGACGTCATCGCCGGCGACGTTACGCAACTCCAAGATGGTGTCGTAAGGCCGTCGTGACATCGCGTCGCTCTCTTTTCTCTAAAGCACAAATACAAGAGTCAATTCCAAAAGAAATGAAGACACCGGCGCTAGTCGGGTTTTAAAGCCTGGTGGTTTTCCAGAACCTGCCATACTCACGGGATCAGCCAATCAGCGTTGATCACGTGACGTTTTCTAATCACCGTCGAGCATCGCGGTCGATTTTTATGCTTCATTAAATCTGGCAAACCCCCCCCCCCCCTCCCCCCCCGGGCCTGACGAGTCAAAAAAAAACGTTTAACGCTCTCTCACGCGAAAAGCACAGTGGAGGCTCGAAGCCGTGGCGCTGTTAAACCCACACTGTCTCAGTTGATAGTCTCCCACGCTCGTATCTTTGTCGATGAAAGCAGAGTGAAGCCGTCGTAGCGAGCGTTTGGTCACTGGTCAGTCGTGGCAAACAGCAAAGAGCCGATCAGAGCTACGCTTATGGTCGTGCACGTCGCCAGCAGAGACAGACACAGCAGGGTCTCTAAACTCGTCAAACACAAAGTTGGGGCCGAAGTTCACGGAGCATACCGATTGGACTTTCATGGCGATGACTTGGCGCTTTGTCGCCGGCGTCCAGCCGGCGCGCTCCGCGATCTCTTGGCTCCAAATTTGTGTTTGCCGAGTTGAGGGCCCCAAAACGTCTGAAGGAACTCAATTGCATGGCTTAGAATGTTTAGGATTCGATTCTTTCTTCGTGGTTCACTCTTTGTCGTTCTTATCACCAACTGCGCAATATATTTTCTTTTTCTGCGTAGCGACAATAAAGCAATTTGGACTAGTCATGACTTTGCACGTCACTAAAACTACCCCCCCCCCTCAAACAAAAAAAAAAAAGAAAAAAAGAAAAAAAGAACGTAGGCCACGAGGTATGTTTGATTGCAAACTCCCCATAATCGGATGTATTAGCTCGTGGGACTTGCTAGATAGAGTTCGCTGATCAGCTGATCCTTAAACATCTGAAGGGTTTATTTTCAGCGAACGACTTCGCTAAAATTTCCGCTGGACTCCTTGAATTAAAGTTTTCAAATTTACGCAATCTCATAGCGGCCTTGATGTGAGTGCTTGCTCCAGCACGCATATATCTTGGAATATACTTTTTCAAGATTAAAACCGTGAGGGCAAACGTTGATCTTGTGAGTGAAAGATAGGCGCCTCCACCAAAATGTTTTCCCACTCTCAATCGTCGCAAGCAATGTTGCACGCCCACAATTGTATAAAGACGGGGCTCAAGGAATCTTACCTTACCTGTTGCTGTTGTAAGAGAACATCGTTGCATGCCACGTTGGGTGTTTATGACAGTTCTCTCTTTTTGTATTTTGTTTCTATGGGCTAATCTTTAAGGCCCCCCTTTACTCCGTTCGACAGGCGCCGTCTCCGCTTTGCGGCGATTTGGCGCGCTGCAGCAAAAGGTTGCCGCCCCCGGCCGTAGGGGATCCAAATGGTGTGTCCTGCCTCTACTAGACTTACCAAACGATGCGGAAGCTGACACACGGTTGCCCAGAGAATCAACAGCACCTGTCGAGAGAGAAACGACAAAAGTTAGACAGTAGCTATTATAGTGATAATGCAATTAAATGCAAAGGTGCAAGCGAGCTGGACAAGAATGACGAAAATAATCCCCGGAGACGGGGAGTATTTTGGATATTTGTGCTTTTCCTTTGTCCCCCTTGTTCCCCTTCTGCAAAGATTATTTTCCTCGCAACTGTACTGGCACAAGGAACACAGTGCCGAGTCATTCGTTTTATGCAACAACCCGGGAAAAAATTGCGGTGGCTTAGCTCGGCTATGCCAGGCTATACGTAGCGTGAGCTTATGCGCACAAAACAAGAAGCGCTATCAAGCGGCTCCGGTGCAGCGTCAGACTTGGCTGCTGCGCAACAGAGGCGCACAGCTGGACACGCGACGGCGCCAGTGCGTCGGCCGCGGCTATGAGTCCCTCCTCTGGAATGCGCAGACCGGCGAGGCGCGCGCGGCGGCGGCGGAGCGCACGGCGGCGGCGGCTCCGGCGAGCCAGCTGTGCGCCGTGTGACGTCACTGCTCCTCGCGCATGCGCAGCACGGAGCACGGCTTATTATGCGAGCCACACGAAACTGCTCAACCAAGGCCAGTGTAGCTCACGCTACAAAACAGGTCTGGGTGATATACCTATCAACAGAAGCCCCACACAGAAAATTATCTCTAAATTATTTCTCGAATCATTAATATTCAACCGCAGTAACGTAAAAAAAAACATTTCGAAAATGTAGGTTTTACAACAGCTATAAGTGGTCCCTTTATAGATAAATTTGCAGTACACCATTTTAAACTGGATGGTATTCACAACTCCAGCGACCTATAGGGGGCGCCACTACCAAATAAACGTGGCGGCTGGGTCCAGGCCGCGTCGGCTCGGCCGGGCCGCCTGAACGGGTGGTGCATTTAATTTGACAGTTTTTTTTAATACCCAATTTTATAGGTATTTGAACTGCGACGGTTAAGTGTAGCCGGTGCACATAAACTTGCAGAGCATAGTTTTGTTTTCCCGGTGTTTTTTGTTCTTTTTATGTCAAACTTTCGTTTCGGAGATTTTGTTCAAAACCGAAACTATGGGCTCCGGAGAGACGGTAATAAACTCTAATCAAGTATGATCACCTAAGGAAAGCGGCAATGACTACAGAATTGTTCCACCTAGAGTAATTTTCAGCTAACTCGCATGCGTCGACCATGCGACTTATCCAGTCTTGTACACGTTACTAAAAAAAAGTAATCGATTACAATTACTATTACTCTTGGCTAAAAAGTATTCGATTAGATTACTTGATTACTCGACGGCAAAAGTAATTGGACATTACTTAAAGAAGTAATCGTTACTTTTCCGATTACTTTATTGTGTGAAGACACATCTTTACCGCTCATAACAATGAACTACTTCCAACCTATATTTCACATTTGCACAAGTATTGAAGAAGAAAAACTGGCTCCCTCTTCGTGGTCGTTGCACCTTCACAATGCGGACACAAGCATAGAATTCGTTTGAAGATGTTTAATGATTTGGGCGTTCGCCAGTGTGTGTGCGTGTTGGGGGGAGCGGAGGGGGTTCTAGATCTTGTTAAGCTTGAGCAAGTGTTGTCGCTCAAAGTTTGCGTCGCTCATTTTATTATTCACATGTGGATGAGCTCGCACGTTATACAAAAGAGCAGCAGCTCCAGGATTTGAAACGGATCATGTGTAGTTTCCATTAGCGGAAGAGATCGCCCCGACCACTTCTCAACTCGAAACATTGCTTGTCACAAAGACCACGTAGGGGAAATGGGGAAATATTTCAACCGCCTTTGTTATATTTTGCATCCACTTTAGGCATTCTTCGGTTCTGGTTCTCCTAAGGCTACCCTGCTTAGGGTAGGTACCCTAAGCAGGATTTTTTTATTTTTTTTATTTCTGTGTGTGGTGTGTGTGAGGGGGCTAGTTTGGACAAAGGACTCACAAAGCTACATTCTGCTTCCTCAAACTTCGCCCTGAATGGACTTTGTCACGCACTGTGGCTTCCCTGGGGCTTCCCACTCCCAATCCCAGCTCGGAAAAAAAAAGGACATTTTACAGAAACTGTACATAGAAAGAGATTGACCTCGTTTCCTACAGCTCCACAAAAGTCTTTCTTTTTTTCCGTTCGAAAAAAAAAAGCAAATTTAATTTTTGTCATGTCATAAAAAAAAGGCGTGTGCCGGGGGGGGGGTCCCGTGGACAAATTGTAACGGTTACAAGTAATTTTATTACTTCAAAAAGTAATCAGATTACTCTTGTGATTACTGCCTAATAAAAGCAATCAACTGATTACAAAATTACTCCAAAAAGTAATCGATTACAAGTAATTTGATAACTTGTAATGCGTACGGTACAAGTCTGGACTCATCTGTCCGCGAAATCGAGCTTTTGTGCGTATCCACGTTTCAGAAACAGCTCCAGTCGTCTGCTCGGTCAATAACACAGGCTGCAGGAAAATTACGAAAATTAATCAAGCGCTTCTTGAGCCAAGGAGCTTGTTAACCCGCTGGCGCCGCACTAAGCAGCTGATACTCGTATTCCAATTCAAATTTTAGTAGCAATCGAGAAGTCATTTTGACGAGCGGGTTATGTATCATATTACGTACTATAATGCCCCACTAAAGTGATATTAGTGTATTCTTCGGATTGAAATATGAGCTTAGTTGACTAGCTATTAAGTGAACTGCTGAATAAAAGTATATTTGACAGACAGAGAGATACTACTTATACTCAGCCAAATGGTTCTAGCCGGTAGCACGGAGACGAATGCGGACAAACTGAAGAGAGTCTTCATCGGAGGTTCACGCAGAACCTCTCTGGCATTGAACTTGACTTTGAATTCTGAACGGAGAAAATGAGTATTTTTTTGTGGCCGGGCAGCCTGAGCAATGAAGACATATATTGCTGCTGGCTTCGACGGAGGTATAATATAAATATTGGAGGCGCGATAGATCATAATGCCGTGACAGCTCCTAACTTTTGCGAGACCTTTTGAAAGCAGACAATTTCCCTCATTAATCGTATGCAGCGAGCAGGTTTTCCTGAATCAAGTAATTGCGAAATCAGCCCAACTCCTTCGGTGTGGTCCAGATGCTTTTTCGGCGAAAAGCAGCCAAGATGAATAGCCAACGCACCGACCGGCGTGGGTGTCTCGAACCTGAAGCTAATCGAACTCAACCAAACTCAAGAAAAGCAGTATCGAAACTTCCCATTCACTTGACTGCAACATTGGTGTTCCCTGCAGCGAAACACCTCGTCTGTCGTCCTCAGTCCACTGTTCTACATCCTTATAAAAAAAAAAAAAGACACTTATCACTTTGAATGTGATTCGAGACAGACAAGAAATCGAAACGTTTTTCCGTGATTCCCCATCCAAGAAATCAAAAGCACGCGACCGTGTTTTGTGGAGTAAACGGGCTTTCAAACACCTGATGGAAGGAAACAATCTACTGAGGCTTCACCACACTAATGAACACTCAAGAAAACTTAAGAAATTTTCGGACCTTCGTCAAATTACATTGTTCGCCACCGCGCCGAAAACACGTGTTTGCGAAAGCCACCAGAGACGCCGAGGGGCGCGAAGCCACCTGTTCCGGTTGGTTCCCGGTTTTCCCATATACAAAAAAACAAACAAAAAAACTAACTATTTAGCCACTTTTCGGGATCCGTTTCACATGTTTAGCAGTCCTTTTGGGTCGTGAATAGAACATTTATATGCAAATAAACCCGACAAAAAGCTTGTCTACACTTAGTTTCAGCTTAAAGGGGCTGTGCAACGACATTGGGTAGGAATATTTCTTATGGATGAAGAAAGAATAAAACAATTAAAACAGGGACAACAGAACCACATCTTTCAACTAGCAACAGACGAGTAAACTTTCAAAAGCGAGCAGCCGACTATACCCAGTAGGAGTAGGGGAGAGAAGGGGAGAGAAGGAAAGATAAGAAACGCGAAGTGCAAGTCAGGGTGGTAGGGTTATCTCGGATTTTAAAAATTCAACCTCGGTTTTCGTCAGCAGGAGGGAAGGGTTTGACACGTTGTTCTTTGATGTGGTCATGGCGAATGATTCTATGATTTCCCTGCCGAATCTGCTGTCATGCCCCCCCAGACTCGCTTTGCTCGCTTTTGCTCGCTTTTGAAAGTTTACTCGTCTGTTGCTAGTTGAAAGATGTGGTTGTGTTGTCCCTGTTTTAATTGTTTTATTCTTTCTTCATCCATGACTTAAACGAACACGCTCTTCTCCCAAGCAGAATATTTCTTACTTTACACCAGCTTCCTGGCACTAGTGGGACCCAAGAATACTCGAACGCAACACCACTGACCAAGAAGCGTCTTCGTCGCGGCGGAATTCAAAGGATGAAAGCGGAGCTTTTCTTTCAGTCTCTCCTTCCAAAGCCGCCTTTCGCTCCTTCGCGAAATTTGATGACGGAGCTGTGGGGACAATGGCAACAGTACGATCCCCGGGAATGCGTCATCGAGCTTTGCGGTGACGATATTCAAATGCTGCTCACACAGTGAACGCGAAGACTGCGCATTCGATCTGGGCTCGTAACAATCGATGCCTCGGCATGCATTCGGGTAGTGGCCCGTGTCCTGTCGCTGCAATAACAACAATAGCCGAGCCATAACAATGTCTGCAACTCAGCGCGTGTCCTGTGCTTTGCCAACCCCAGCGCGTGGCCATGATCAACATTGGCGGCATATAATCGGCTCCAGATCACGTGGCCGCTTGTTCTGGCTGCGAGTTGAGGGGGTGAACGCTGCTCGTTTTTCCTTAAATTTTTTTTCTGGAACTTCTATTGCGTGGGGTGAAAAACGAACGCGTGTTTCATAGGTCATTAACGTCAGAGATCCGTTTTAAGCGGTATTTGCGCAAAATACAAAAATTGTTGCATCGCCCCTTTAAGTCCATATACGCAGCCGACGCTACAATCAAGCAGCATCAAAAGCGGAAGTCCCTGGGCCTTTTCTGTTTAAGATTTGTTCAGCGATG